ACGGAAAAGAGAGAAAGAAGAAGGACAAAGAGAAGATGAAAGGAAGGAGGAGAATGGAGCCTGTTAGTATCAAGGCTAGAATGAAACTTTTCTTAAGAGTGTCTGCTGTACCACTAAGATGTTGAAGGGTGAAATAACTCAAATCACTCCCATCACTTCCTTGCCTACCCTTGGATTTTAGCTGGCTGTTCAGTTTAGATCTAGAATGAACTCCAAAATTCTCATGTGTATGGAAGGTGATTTGATCATGGGATGTCATACTCATCAGTGGATTGATCCACTGATTAGCAGCTAAATGTGCTATTAGGAGGTGGGGTCTGATTCAAAGAGGTGGGTTCCTGGAATGTGACCTGGAAGGGTAGATTTCTCTCCCCATCACCTCCCCTTGCTCTTCACTTTCTGGTCTCCATGATGTGGACAGCTCTTCCTTCACTAGACCCTTCCACCACCATGCTGTTTCTGCCTTGGAGCAAGCCAACTAGGAAAGGAAAATACAAAGCTGAAATAAATCTCTCCTCCTGTAAGTTGTGAGTATCGGGTACTGTGTTCTGGCAATGAGAAAGTGACTAAGACACTGTTTTCAGTGCTGCGAAGAGGACTCAAGAGAAATGTTTGTTTTAGCAGAAGTATTATGGAGCCACTGAATGAAGAGATTACCATCAAGAGTGAGCTCGACAACAGTCTCAATGCAAGTGGATTCTCTAAGATTAATGCAGGAGAGGAACAAATTCTAAGCCTCTGTTCAGAAGGGGTAGAGACATTTTTATCAATGAGCAATTGATTTGTCTTGCCAGAGAATATTTTGACTCAGCAAAGTGAACTGACAGAAAGATTTAGGAAAGGTGTTTTTCTTGGATTTTTATTAGATTTTTTTTGTTTTCTATTTTCCAATGAATTTCCAATGCTTCATAATATAGTATTACTTATGTCACATATTTTTTGTGTGACTAGGTAAAAGAATTATGTCGTTTCAAAAGTAAAGAGGCTATGATTATTCTTTTCAACCAGGGAAAAGAGAAACCAGAAAACAAATGTTATTTGGTGTTCTAATTATGTCGTTTCAAAAGTAAAGAGGCCATGATTATTCTTTTCAACCAGGGAAAATAGAAACCAGAAAACAAATGTTATATTTGGTTCCTCATGCTCAGAATTATCCTGTTGTTACTTACCATTCAAACACAGGCATACATAGTAATAAAAATCCCAGTTTTACTCCATGTGTCAGTCTCTTGAATGACGTCATTGTGTAAAGGCTATATATTTTTTTTCTTTCTTTCCTTTTCTGCCCTCTCCAGCTGGGTAATGTGGTGCTTTTACAATGATTGTATGTCTGTTTGTGGGTCTATGGCTGGGTAACTGAAGCAAGTATTTCCACAAAAATATAAAAGTTTCTACACACTTGCTTATAGTCTTTGGCATTTCACAAGAGATGTTCACAAATACTTCTCAGTATGAACCAGTGCCAGTGTGAACAAATGATTATTTGAAAATTCATTATTGGGAATTTATTATTTTTTCATTGTAGTTTCCATAGTAGGGAACAAAAAGAGTAGAAATAAATCCAATACACATTAAAATCAGATTATGATTTGTGTGGCTAAAAATTTTTAAGATCTGAAGAATGTAGATTAGAAACATTAGTCAAATTCAAATAGATGAAATTTAGTAATCACATTACCTTCAAGATGGGAGAGAAATATGTTAACACCAGCATTTGTAAATACAGACAGCTTTTCCTTTGTGTTATATCAGTGCCAGAAATGCTAATGAAATTATAGACAACCTCAATAGAAAGCAAAAAAAAAAAAAAAAAAAAAAAAAAAAAAAAAAAGCAATCATTTCTCCCTATTCCAAGGTCACACCAGGAATATTGTGGGCAGAGACACAAGAGAATATTGAGGTGCTAAATTCTAGAAGTCTTAGCACAAAGAAATCTGATTAATCTTGGTGGGGGTGTGGTAGGAACAGAGGGCACAAACTAAATACTGTTATGTGGAGTATTGAGTGCACTGAACATACAGTCAGGTCTCCAGACGTATGGCTTCCACATTATAGAGTCAAAAAGCCATCGGTGGAAAGTATTTGCAGAAAAGTATGTTACATCATTGCTGGTGTGTACTGTATATTTAGGCCTAGGATGGTTATGGTGTGTCTGTACCGAACAGGTACAAACTTTTTTTATCTTGTCAATATTCCCTAAACAACACAGTATATCAGCACAGCATTTAAATTGTATTAGGTACTATAGGTCATCTAGAAATGATTTAGTGTATAAAAGAGGATGTGTATAGGTTGTATGCAAACACTACACCATTGTACATATAAGACTTAGAATCTGTGGAGTCAGTCCTGAAACCCAATGCTCACAGATACCCAGCAGTGCTAAGCTGGGGGCTCCAGGAGGCAGCACTAGAAAAGTATATATGAGTTTTGAAAATTCCAGCTTGAGCTGGATCAAGGAATGTTTGCCTTAAGTGCCTGGACCAATGGGATTCTCAAGTTGAATGTATTCGAGAGGTGTGCGTGGTCTTTACTGAAAATTACCTCTCAGTTGATCTAGATCAGTCAATAGGTCTCTAACTTGAAGACTGTGGTTCACATGCTGTGTTGTAAAATAGCTCATACAACAAAAGAGGGTAAAGTTTCTGAAAGTAGAGCCATCAGCCTCCTTCTGTTTCACAAGGGTCCTCAATGCAGAGCAACTCGGACAGCTGTCTGAGGTGCTGGAGAGAGATGGTCTTCGGGGGTGGTTGAGCTCTGCTTTTCATGTTTGCTGTGTTGCTTTAATGTCTTCTGGATTTTCAGCTTTTCTGTTCCTTACATAAATCAACACTCCTCATCTCCCACATACAGTCCGGACCAAAGAAAGAAATGAAGAGAACCGTGTCAAAAGCAGTGGCTTCCCCTATCTCACCCCAGAAATAAACGATTCCATTTCACTTTCAAAGATTAGGCTTGGTATTTAAAGTTGGGTTTGAAGGGATTAGTATTTATAGTAGAAACCAACTTTTCTGAATCAATTGTATGTATTTGCTTCTTTGTTTTGTTTTGTTACTGGGGATTGAACTTGGGAACTTGTGCTTGCAAGGCAGCCGATGGAACCACTGAGCTAAATCTCAGGTCCTGTATTTGCTTTTTGATTTCTTAATTTTGTGCTTTCTATGATGTATATATACCCTGAAAGGAGATAAGAAAGGCACAAAATTAATTTTACAATCAGGTGAAGGAACAACTTCAGCTAAACAGCTCATTGGCTTCAGGCGCAATCAAGAGCAGTTTGGTGGTAATAAACCTGTCCTGTTTCCACTCTTAGTTGTGTTGCCTTTCCTGTTGTTTGAGGTTTCAAACTACCTTCTTTTCCCCAACCTGTAAAATGGAGACAATAATAGCACTATCCCTTCAGGTTGTGAATATGGAATAGGTTCATAAATGTAAGGAATTTCTTAGAACAGTGTCAGATGCACATATAACAAATATTAGTTATTATTTATTGTGTCACCTTTATTTTATTTTTGATAGTTTCCTAGAAAGACTCGCAGGACACAGAAAAATGGTTACACTAGCCATTATGGTTTATGACAGCAAAAAGATATACATTAAAATAAGGAAAGGAAACAAGGTGCGTGGAGGTGGAATCTAGGGAAGACTAGGTAGGTGCAAGGTTATGGTGCACTCTCAGTCCAAGCACAGGGACAGATTGTATCTCTCTCAGCAATGACATTTGACAATGTGTAAAGTGTTGTCAACCAGAGAGGATCCCCTGTGCTTAGCGGGCCAGGATTTGGTTCAAGGTTAGATTCACTGCTGTGTACTTGTGTGGCTGACCTTAGTTAGCTACCATTACTTGGTCCTCAGACTCTGCACCTCACTCTCACTTACTAGAAGAGGGCAAACAGATACAATGTAATCTAAATAAGGCTAGGTATACAGAAAGAAGTTTTCACCAAACATCACACGGTTAGCCTAAAACACTCAACATAGCTCAAAGCATCAGATATAGAAAGACATTCTTATGAGGCAGGATGTGTCAAGTGCTCAGAGGAGCCAGTCAGAGGTCAGTCTTGAAGACTGAGTGTGCAGGGTTAGAATAACCTAGATCTACTGAGTTAAACTATTACTGCACACATATGTAAACTTTCATCTGAACAATCCAACTTTTTTGATATTTTGAATAATTTGTTTTTGGTATATGAACATTTATTAAATATCCATTGCATGCATAGCTCTTACAATCTTTTCTCTGTAAGCTACAGAATAAATCAATTTTTACACTTGATCCTAGCCAAAAGTGAGAAAGCCAAGAAGTGATGAATAAATCAATTTTTAATTAATATTGTAATCGTAGGAAAGAAATTATTAGTACTCCAATATAAGAAGACACATCTGAAACTAAACGCTATTACGTCTATTGCAATAATGATGACACTGCTCCTTAAGTTTGTACTTTCATTTCATTATTAGTTTAGACCTTATCAGCAATTGTGGGAGGTAGGTAATATTGTCATTTAGGCAGGAGAATAAAGGTTCATTTGAGAAAGCCTCTAAGATTCCTGGCCAGTAAGGGCAGAGTCTAAATTAACCAAGTGATTACACAGCCTGGTCTTACCAAAGGCAGGGACATTTCTGATGGTTTGGAAACAAAATGTTTTAAAAAATACATAGAAACACTAAAAATCCAATATTACTTAGCTTCATAAATCTCAAAATTCACAGAATGTTTAGACACTGGGGCAGAGTTGTGGGTGGAACAAATGTATCCCTTCTATCAACAGAAGAGAATTCTGCAAAGATTCCAAGACTCTACGATGTCCCTCTCCATGAAAATGTGGTGTAGAAAATACAAGAAAGGCAGAAATATAAAAAGAGAAAAAACTAAGTAGTCGTTTTGAGTATATTGATTTTAAAGGTAGATAAGAAATTGAAATATCCCCAAAGATTTCAAAATTGTCACTATCATGAGTTGTTGATAAATGCATCTTTTTTTTCTCCTCTCTTGTTAGATCTCAGTCTGTGGTAGAAGCTGGGACCCTGAAACATGAGGAGAAGGGAGAAAATGAGAACACTCAGCCACTCCTGGCTCTGGACTGAGCCCAAGCCACCCTGATGCTCCTGCAACTTGGCCTTCAGTGGTATCAGCCACCCACAAAGCACATGTGCAACTGACCCACACAGACACATGTGTTCTGCTTAACAAGGTCCTCCACTCCTGCCCCACCAAGGACTGTCACCTGAGCAGCCACAGCTGGACAGAGATTTGAAAGATGCTTTTTGTTTTAGAAAGGGGATTGGAGGATGAAGCAAGGCATTCATGTGTAAAAGGTTCTCCCTCCCTAAGTATTTATAGGTTCAAATGAATTAAAAAAGGGAAAATCTAAATTTGATGCATACACTGTATTAGGAAGAGGATTTTTTTGTCTGAGAAATCACACAGGGACCCTCTCTAGTTTTTACAAATTAAGATTAAGTGTATTTCCAAGTAAATACATCACAGTTAAACTGTGCAGACATGATTGTCAAGTTCAATGTAGTGCGGAGCCCTGAAACATAATATCTAATTTCCATTCTTATTGAATTCTGTTCTTTGACATCATAACCGTAGAATTGTTCAGCCTAAGAGCATGTTCTCATAGGTCTGGCTATTTGAAAAGTTTTCTTATTCTGATATCCTGCAAAACAAATGATTTGGATGTTACATTTTTTTTTGTCAGGCTACCAGCTGACATTCATGAGCTGACTTTAAAAGACACATACAATTTGAAATATGACTTTATCTTAGCAGTGTGATTTCCCACAGGCAGCCTGAGAACCCAAAGAAGAGGCATCTCATTGAAAACACATGTCAGTGATTAATAAACCTATTCAAGTTGGTTCACTTGGGTCACTACAGCCAATAGAAGTGCTACCATACCATTTAACCCTCCACCCTCCTGCAATTATTAAGGTTATAGAGGAAGGGCCTGGCCAGTGATCAGTGTAGAGCTATTAAATCATGGAGGAAGACCCTGGAGAATGGCTAAATATGATGCCCAGAAGTAAGATAAGGCTAGGAATGCAGGACAGAATGCCAAAGATCACTTTATTTCTTTATCTATTATTCTTAGAAATGGAGTCTCCATCTACCCATTCAAAGGAAATTCAATACAAGATAAATAGATGTCACAGGCAATTATTTGTGTCATGTTTCCCAAGATCCATTGTATATTTTTAGGTCTATCTTAGTTGCCCAGCCATCTGCATGACATGGTATTAATTAGTATGACCAATTGGTGCTCAGTGTCAAAGCAAAACTATTTTAGTCGATAATGGGCAGTAAAATGTGATCTTACGATGAAGTATTTGGGAGAGTTAATTTGCTAGCTGAACAGTTCAAAGTAGAAAGGTGATTGATCCAACTGGCCATAATCACCCTCAACAAATATTATAATCTTAATGATTCACTATACTCTTCCTCAATGGATCGAATGTTTTAATTATTTTTCACTGGTAGAGAATAACAATAAAAGCCATTTTTATATCCCAACTTTGAAGTACATAATAGAATTAGAATTACAAATCTTTCTCAAACAATTGCATCACAATCTAAATAAAATCAATTCCTTTTACATAGACATTTCAAATCATAAGAAAATAACACTGACATAATTTTACCAATGCAGTGGCTGAAATACTTATGTAACAAGATATAGGTGAGAGAAATGAAGGATTAACGCGAATTAGAAAAATCCATTTTATTGCTTAGGTTTTTTAAATAAGTGTGGGATCCAACTATTTAAAATGCTATTGGAGTCAATTATTGCTATCCCTTTGGAACAGTAATAATATTTCCAGCTTTTCAATTGGCAATATTTAGAATCCTACTGTAGTGAACCATTGTTAAATACCATGTTATATTTAGTAAGTTAAGAACTAGTTTTTATTCTTTTCCACAGTTTCCTTAAATGAATGTAAGAGGATGGTTCAACAATGACAACATATGGCTTGCATTTGTTTACCTGTATGCAATTTACATAGGAAAACCAAATTTAATAAGTAACATGAATGATACTACATAAACACTGGATTGTATTGCCCTTTGTCAGTCATTTCCTGTTTAATAAATACTGAAGGACACAAATATCATTTTATTTTTTAACAGTTTTTTTTCTGGATTTTAGTATTAACTTTGTTATTTTTCCTCCCATGAATCTCTACTTTTTTTGTGGCACTTTCACATATTTGCAAAATGGAAGGAACAGGATAATATTTTAAGAGTACGGCAAATATTGTGAAAATTTTACTAGATTGTAAAAAAGCACCAGTGATTTTTCTATCTACGCATGAAATTTGGTGACCTATGTGCCATTCCTGAAGTGCTTCTGTTCACGTTGGCTTAGAATTCAGTGCATGCATACCACTACATTCCTGAATACTACTACCCTCAAGCTAACACTTGCAGTAGCTTTAATTTGAAAAATATAAGATCAAATGCATTAATACTTTTCTAAATTACAGACTTGGTCATCTTTGGAATGAGAAGACAAGGCCACTTTCAACTGTTATTTTGCTGTGGATAATATTAAAACTAAATATAGATATTAATTACTTTCTCAAAATGATGTTCAGCTGGCAGAAATTTCTCAAGTCAAGAGTCTTCAAACTCTTTTAAAAAGAAAAAAAGAAAAGAAAAAATCTAGACCTCCCACATGCAGGACAAGGATGCCTAGCATTCCACAGACCATCTACTCTGCTGTTCTTATATGTATGAAATTGTGATGAGAACTATCTCAAGGACCAAAGGGCTCTCCTCTTGCTGCTCACATGGGTCTACAGTGGGAAGACACCATGGATTCCTAGGCCCTGTGTCACAGATGGCAAAGATGCTAGGAGCCTGGTGCCTTTGCAACTACCTAGGTACCTAATGCAGAAAGATAGTTTATATCCATAAATTTACATTGTTCTCCTAAAGCCCAAATACTTGGCACTAAAAAATTTACATGTGGAATTTTATATCTTAATATAAAATGATTGTTTTTTTTTCTGTATAAAAAGTCCTTCTTAGAAAGAAACAAGATTTTGACACTATCTCCACCATTTGCATAGTGAGAGAAGATAACACTGGATCTCAGTGAAGATAAAAAAGCATATTCAAAGGTAAGGATCTGTATAGACAATAGACACTGCCATAGTTACAGTTTCCTCTTTTGTATGAGGAAAATAAAATAGCCTTTTTCATGAGTGTCTTTTATTAAAGTGAATTAAAAGGAGCACATCTGAATTCTTCAGGACAGTTACCATTGAAAAGCTAAAAATAAAGCATCTATACAGCTAAACTTAAAGCCTGCCATTGTAGTCAATAAAAAAGTAGTGGTACATGATGCCAAAATAGTTTACCCTAGAAAAATATACACTGCATAGAAAAGTTACAAACTAAAGCAATCTATTCACAGTTTCTACATATGTTCTCATTGTACATTGATGTAGACCTACTTTACATGATAAAAATACCTTTGGCTGGAAAGGCAGAGGCTGCCAAGTGTCCACTTTAAACATGGGTGCACAGTCAGTGCTGTCATGGATGAGAAATGGTACAGTGTTTTCTAAATGAACTGCAGTGAGGAAAATGTTCTATGTAGTGTCTAACTCTAGGAGGAAGCTCAGAGTTTTCCAGGCTGCAAGTCAATGCATTAAAAGCCATGGGATTAGAACTTCTCTGTCCACACCCAAAGTAAACCAGAAAGGCAGCATCTGTCAGAATGTGCCAAAGCTGCATGAATTCTTCTTAAATTGCAGGAAGGCTGCGTCTCTGCTGAGGTGTCAGTTCTGGGTGCCACACATCCACGATGAATATCAGCCGGAAAGATGAGGCATCCTGCCACACTTCATGCTCAAAGGAGTCATCAAAGATGAGCACCTTGCCTTCTTCCCATGTCCTGGAACAGAAAAGCATGGATTTCTGAGTATAGCTGTGCATAGTTCAGATGCCAGAGGATCCATTTTTGTGCACATGCAAGAATCCCCTGCTATGACAACCTTTAGATGCAGCCAGAACACAGAGTCTAACTTTAGAATTCCTTTGATGACTAAGGAGGAATTTTAGAATTCTTATTATGAACACCAGTTTTCATTGCTCAGCACAGATGTGCAAGGGGCAGGGGACTGGCAAGGACAACATATTGGTCTGATTTCATGCCTTACAATTATTCTGGGTCTAGTCCTAAGAGACGGTTTCCAGTGAGGCAAGCATTATGGTGCGTATCCTTTTGGCTCCAGTACAGGACAACTTCTGGCCAATGATTCCACTGCTGTTCTCCCTGGCCCTGCATACATTAGTTTAGACCTGTGGGTGGCCATTGAGTTGCAAGCATCTCTATTCCTTTTTAAACATCTGACATAGGGTCTGCACACCTCTAAATGATTCTCTTTGCAGCTAATTCCATTTGTTCAAGTTTCATTTAATGAAAGATATGAGTCTTCAATCCAGTAGCCAGAAAATAGATAACCAAAGCAGGTGTTTCCTAGTATTCGTGTTTAGAAAAATGGGCAGACTGGTAATTAATTTATATTTTTAGCATCACCTGCTAGGCAAGGGGGCTATCTATGGAATATTTTAAATTAATGTTGTAAAGCACCTTATGGAACCTCCAGCACTATCTCTGAAGAGATAAGCATGAGGATCAAGATCTAAATATGTTAGTTTAAACATAATAACTAAAAGAGAAACATGTAGGAGGTAGTTACACAATGACTTTCTAACAAAGAACATTTGAGTCAAGCCAATGTCTTTTTCTTTATTAAAAATTAATATATTTTAAGTAATACATAAGATAAATTAAATGCTAAGTCATGTTTTTAAAGTATAATTTTTACTAAGAAAGTTTTCTTAGATATTAAAAATTCCATTTTAACATTTAATGTTAAATCTTGTGCTAGAAAATAGTAATAGTATGGAAAATGCTAGCTTGATTTCAAGCTGCCATATTAAGACATTTTCCTTAGGGAAAGGACTGATGTCTTTTGTGTTTCTTACTAGATGATTAACTGAGTGACACTGCAGGGCCCCACAACCTCGGCACCACTGACATTTGCACCAGATCCTTCTCGGCTGCATCGTGCCCTGTGATGTTGAGCAGCATCCCTGTCCTCCACCCACTAGACCCATACCTGTTACGACAACCGGAAATGTTTCCTCTCATTGCCAAATATTCCAGAGTGGGTGGATGGGAGGGGAAGCAAATTATTTCATCAGAGATTAACTGATATACTGAAAAAAATCTAAGAAAACTTCCAAGTCCTTTTAAGTAATGGGTCAAATAATGAATATGTACAAGTTAAAAACTCAGTAAATCTGGGAACCAAACCTCTACTTTTGCTATCTGTCCATTCCCCTGTCTATGTACCGTCTCATACCTCTAGCCATTGTCTTACATTCAGTACATGTGTTGGTTGCCTGTTTGACACAACTCCTCTGAAGATGTAAAGAGTCCCCATAGAGCTTCATCCAGTACATTCATTACTGGGATCTTGTACCTTTACATGATAGGTCTTGGTTCTCATTTTTTCCCCTTGTCCCTGCCCTCCCTTCACCCCTCCTCTCTCCCCCTTTATAAACACTTCATTTCCATTTCTTCATTTTTTTCATATTTTTCTTTTGCCTTATTAACTAATAAGATGGTTACTTTTATGCTATGCGTATCTTATTACAGTTAAGTAATGCAAAGGGAAAGACAAAGGGCAACATGTGGTAGAATAGAAGTGAGGAGAAGCAGGCAGTATAATAACAGAAAAGCTAGGGTTTACAAGGCCTAAGCAGATTAAAAGCTCTTGGCTGTGGCACTTATCACCAATGTAACCTGGGAATAACTGATGACACTCCTTGACTTACGATGGGCTTGTGTCCTGACAATCCCCTGTAAACTGAAAACAAATAAAAACTGTCTTTAAAACGTTTTACCACTGATCATCACAGCTTAGCTTACCCTATGTTAAACATCCTCTGAACACTTACATTAGTTTACAGTTTTTCTAATACAGAGCTTATTTTACAATACAAAAATTCATATCTATAATCAGAGGATCCCAGCAACTCAGGAGGCTAACTCAGGAGGAATGAAAGTTTGAGGCCAGCCTGGGCAATACAATGTGATCCTGTCTTCAAAAATGCGCACATGCATGTGTGCTGAATGTTTCGTGAAATTTACTGAATACCTGTACAGAGCAGGCTGGCCACACAGTACACTGGACTGTGTCGAGGATCCCACTTGTGAGGCTGACTGGGACCTGCGGCTCACTGCCACTACCCAGCATCAGTACGGTACCAACCTACATGTTGTTGCTCCAGGAAAATTCCAAAGTTCAAGTGCAGTTTCTATTGAGTATGTACCTTTTGTGTACCATCACAAAGTTGAAAATCAAAAGTTTAACTATTGCTGAGGGCCATGTGCACTTCCTATTTGAGTCTTTGTGTTTTCATTTGCATAGATGATATAAGAATGAGCATATGTTTGGCATATAGCAGAAATTCCATTAATTAAAGAGATTATAAAATAGAAGAAAATATAGAAAAAAAGAGGGAAAAGATAGAAAATAGAGTTGAAATGTTGGCAAATGGTATAACATTACCAAGAATTACCTTGGCATCATTTGTAAAATCTGCCTTCATTTGAGCAAATTGAAAATTTCCAAGAGGATGAGATGTAAAAAAAATCTTTACAGATTTTTGTAAACCTGTGAAATATATTTTGTGCAGTAATAACAAGTGATTCCCAAAGTTTTTTTTTGGTGGCACAGACTCTAGAAGTTATTAAAATTGTGAAAGTAATTAAAATAACTAAACAGAAAAGTCCATCTTATTGAAAATGATATTTTTCATTACATTCTGAGAGGTATAACAAAGCCAAGATTTAGAAATATTTAAAAACCTTAAACATTCCATTCATTAGTTTAAGTTCCTTGTGAGTAGGCAAATCTATTATCACTGGTATACAAGTCACTTATAGAATACTATTGCATATAAGAGCAGAATTTAAGAACCACTGGCTCTGGCTTTCATATGTATTATGTCAAATGTGGACTAGTGTAAAGTATTAATTAGCTAATATTTTAAACAGGAAATCTAGGAGATATTGCAAAGGCTGTTTGTTAAGTGGTTTTAACTGGGACATAACATTCTATCAGGAAGCATTTCTTGTTACATTTATAGTTTTCCTTTAATTTTTCCTTTACATGTTTTTCCAAGAAAACAAAGATAAATACTTAATATTCTTTAATATTGATTCCTTCTGAATACTTACAAATGATGTTTTTCAAACAATTGGCAGGATAGAACGAATAAAAGCAGAGCCACAATTAACCTAAAGAGGCCAAGAGAAGGACAATACAACCTCATCCAAGCCACATACAGACCCGAGTGACTCTGCGGTTAAACTAGAGATATATCACCTGCCTGGAAAAGGGTAACTGTTTCACACAACAAAAAGAGACAGACCATAAAGTTGTCAAAGGTCTGGAGAGCTCTTCTGAAAGAAACCTTCGGAATACAGAGTTTCCAAAACACATGCTTTATGGAAAAAAATCCAACAAATATGATAACAGTACAATCAAATCATGGCACAGAAAGAGCCAAAAGGAAGCAGAATTCCTCAGGGTGGCCTTGAGATATGGCTTTTTGGAGAAAATCCTACAGACCTTCCCTGATGGCTCAGAACAACAGGAGTGGGAGTGGAAGAGGCTAGATGGTCACCCTGGCTTCCTGTGAAACTGTTTTACCATTAAAAGAAAAAAGCCTTTCTCTAGTTTGCCAAAAGATAAAAGGATTGTGGTCACGACATAAAGTAGTATTACATAATCTCTCCATTTTTCAAATCATTATTATAATTAAAATTTATAATAATGATATAATGGTGGCAGGGCATATTTAATAGCTGTAATTTTGTAATGGAATTACTATCAATCTTAATAAGGACACCAGCTGCTTACAGAGTTCTCACTGAAAACTCCATAGGTGATATCACAGTGATCTTTGTTAACATGTTCTGAGGCTGGTAAATGACATAGCTGTTGCTTTCCTCCAAAAAAAAAAAAAATCACACAGAAACAAGTCTAGGTCTTTGAATGATAGGCTGATTCTGCGGAAGAAGCAGAATGTGCCTAGGTTTGTTTCATTATGGCCTAATGCTTTAGGTCAAGGTCATGGTCCCAGGGGATATTCTTGGCATCTGCAGATGAGATGTACTACATGGCATTTAAACAGGCTGAGGCAAATACACACCTCTTGTTAATTCTGATCTACTGAAGTTCTCTAGTTTTCATTCCACCGGAACCCCCAGCACCCACAGTAAATGAAACTTAAAACTGCACTACCACTTGTGTCTTCCCTCCTAGAACACACAGAAATCCTCCCTTGTTCTCTTTCTCTCTGTCTGGAGAAAGCATTCCTCTGGAAGATAGTAAACCTGTGCTCTCTTCTGACTGTTCAGATATTTGATTGGCAAAGAACTTCACGTACGACCCTTAGTTTCCTTACTGAAGACAGACAAATTAGACTTTAAGGCTCCTTTCAGTGCTAAAATTCTCTTAATTCTCTGAGCTAAGTTCTTGGTTAGGACTTTATTCTTCATAGTATATTTCACAAGATTTTAACAATCTTTCATCTGAGATACGTGCACAGCATCTGCCATTTTGCTTAATGTCAAAGTATTACAGAGCTGGAAGTGTACTGCATGGGTAGGGTTCCTGCTTAGCATGAGTCCTGAGTTTAATCTCCAGCGGGGGGTGGAGGGATTCCAGTAAAAGATGGCTAACTTCGCAAAGGACCTCTTCTCCCAGCAGAATTTATAGTGGGAACCCACAAATCCCCCTTTTAAGAAGCCTGACTCTTAGTCCCTCAGGGTTCAGCCTTCCAGCCAGGACACCACATGGAGTCCCTCTTTTT